ATCTTTGACTACTGTTTTTAAAAAGTACATATTCTAATCTCAAAGTGTTAACTAAAGACTAAAATAAACTTGTATCCTGTAAAGTCATGTTTATGAAACTAGCAATGGTTGTATTCATGCAATACTTTGGGGATTTTTAAGAATAATGTCTATTGGGCTTCCCTGGTGGCGCAGTGGTTGCGAGTCTGCCTGCCGATGCAGGGGACACGGGTTCGTGCCCCGGTTCGGGAAGATCCCACATGCCGCGGAGCGGCTGGGCCCGTGAGCCATGGCCGCTGAGCCTGCGCGTCCGGAGCCTGTGCTCCGCAACGGGAGAGGCCACAACAGCGAGAGGCCCGCGTACCGCAAAAAAAAAAAAAAAAAAAAAAAAGAATAATGTCTATTAGAAGGCTTAAAAAAGCACAGGGAACTATATTCAATATCCTGGGATAAACCATAATGGAAAAGAATGTGTAAAACAAGAATGTCTCTATGTGTGTAACTGAGTCACTTTGCTGTATAGCAGAGATTGGCACAGCATTGTCAATCAACTCTACTTCAATTAAAAAAATAAAATTTAAAAAAAGAAGGCTTAAAAACTTGTTTTCTAATCTATACAAGAAAGGAAAGAGCTGGTTTACTCATTATAGTCATCAATGCTAGGTCTACATAGTCAGAAAATTAGTGCACTGGGGTTCTTCTAGAGGGTCCATGGCAAGTTTAGATTTTTCTCACAAGAAGGGTGAAAAAAGACAATCTAAACAAGCTGGCTATCTGGGGCTAGACTCACTGGTGTCATCTAAAGTCTATGAAGAAACATACCAAAGAAGAAACCCATCTAAATACACGAAAGAGACATAGTCATTTAATGAGTTCCCAAATTAACTCTCTTCCTCTTTTGACACAGTTTCCTACAGCTAATCAAGTAATAATGATCATCTCACTTAGAGTTATCGATAGTGGATATTTCTCTTGTACCACCTGATTACTCCTCACCACAACCCTATGAGGTAGGTACTATTAGCCCATTTCACAGATGAGAAGACCGAGGCCACTACAAATGGATGACTTGCCCAAGTTCACACAGTAAGTAGGTGGCAGAGCACAGATTCAAACCCAGTTCTGACTCCAATCCCATGCTAGGAATTCTGAATCCCTATATTTTATTGCCTCCCTATTTCTAATTAAGTGACTTCCTTAAAAAAACTTTTTTTCTCTCTGCCCAACTGTAGAGGTTTCTTTGGGCAAGAGCCTAATTCCACCCAAAGCCTTGTCTTAATTACAATGACAGCACAAATGTTGGTCCGTGGCTCCTCTAAAGAATGCCACAGGGCTTCCCTGGTGGCGCAGTGGTTGAGAGTCCGCCTGCCGATGCAGAGGACACACGTTCGTGTCCCGGTCCGGGAAAGATCCCACATGCCATGGAGTGGCTGGGCCCGTGAGCCGTGGCCACTGAGCCTGCGCGTCCAGAGCCTGTGCTCCACAACGGAAGAGGCCACAGCAGTGAGAGGCCCGCGTACCGCAAAAAAAAAAAAAAAAGAATACCACAGAGAGAAGTCTGCCTTGCTTATCTGAGCAGTCCTATTTCTAATCCAGAATTTAGGGGGTTTCATAATAGAGATTCTCAGCTCCAGTTCCCTGTCACCAGAGACATTCTTAAACTACCTCACAGAGAATGGTTTTATAGAAAATACAGAGTGGAAACAAAAAGGGAGAAATTATGTAGCAGTCAATCTAGAGTTCTATACAAAAGCAAGAAAGTCTATTCTTAAACTCCCCTGAGCACACAGAAATCCACAATCTCCCATGGCTTACGGACTTCCCATCCTTCCTCTCTCAAGCCATCTCAGCACCGCCAATTTCCATGGCAGCACCATGGAGCGCGGGGCTCAGTGGTTTCTTTGCCTTATGATCATCCTACACAACTCCTACCCAAGAAAGGCAGGGACTAGATCCTCTTTCCACTTCTACTTTTTTTTTTTTTTTTTTTTTTTTTTTGTGGTACGCGGGCCTCTCACTGCTGTGGCCTCTCCCGTTGCGGAGCACAGGCTCCGGACACACAGGCTCAGCGGCCATGGCTCACAGGCCCAGCAGTCCACGGCACGTGGGATCCTCCCGGACCGGGGCACGAACCCGTGTCCTCTGCATCAGCAGGCGGACTCTCAACCACTGCACCACCAGGGAAGCCCTCCACTTCTACTTTTGAAATGGAAAACCCCCCACCATAGCTTTTATCTGGGAACATGGCTACCTGAAATTAACCTTACATTTCCCGCATACTCCTTTGCAACAAGGTGTGGGTATGTGATTAAGTTCTAGCTAATAGCATATAGGCAGAAGTATCAGAGGCAACTTCCAGGACAGTGAGCATGTGTCCTTCACCTTTCTGTACCTTTCCTCCTCCTGCTGGCTGAAATAAGGCTGTGATGACTGGGGAGTCCAGCATCCTTCTTGGACTCTGAAATAATTTTCACTCCTGGGATAGTAGAGCAGAAAACTGAAAGGAACATAGCACCTTGGCCTCTGAACTTCTGACTTTGGTGAGAGAATAAAACCGTATGTATTTTCTATAACATACTGATCCCATTTTAATTAGATTCACTTTAAGAGGAAAAATGTGGTACAAAAATGCTCAGATAAGGAACTCCTCTCTGATTTCAAAACTAGCCCCAGGTATCTCTGAGCACATCTGAGGATAATCTGTCACCTTCCGGGATATCCCTAAGCATGAGAATCTAAGCATCTCAATTTCAAGGGCTGTCAGTTTGCCCCTTCCCCTCTCTTGCTCCTTCCCACTCCAGCCCAAATGGAATTTACTACCAAAGCAGTGACAGAGGGCGACCAGACGTTCACAGCTGGATTTAGACTCTCACCTGGCAGCCAGTTGCATAGCAAAGCAACCCTGCAGAGCCAGTCTCCTCTCACACCAGCTGCCCCACCATTGGGTTACTTTGGAGACGATCATAGGAGCTGATACTTTCTGAGTGCTTAGTCTGTGCTGAACTCTGGTCCAAGCACCTTATATACTGTAACAACTTGGAGCCGCTCCGCAATTTTTTAAGGTAGGTATTGTTACATGGACCCATTTTATACACAAGGAGCCTGAGGTACAGAGAGGCTAAGTAAAATGGCTGGGAAGTCTCAAGCCAAGATTCAAACTCACAGTGGTAGCCTGATAGCCTGTGCACATGTTCACTACCCTACACTGCCTCTCAGGAAGAGGAGAAAAAGAAAGGCAATAAAAAAAAAAAATTTAAACATGCCTACCTCTAAGGCTGCCATATTTCATTAGAAACTTTAAGTCTGCTTTACTCACTGCACCAGAAAATGCCTACCATTTTCCTGGCTTTGAAAAAACAGATCTGCTGTTTCAGATGTGTCATTACCTGCACACTGCGACGTTAACTTTCCCAACCGTTAATAACTGCAGAGCAGGTGGGACAGGAAAACAGCAATAAAAATGTTCAAAAATCACCCCTGACCTGAGCAAGAGACAAAGACAGAAACCGATTCATGGAAGTGAGAGGTAACCTCAAAGATCTTCTACGTGTCCCCACACTAAGGCACCCCTGGCATTCTGCTTAAGGGGTTAAAGTTCTAGAAAACAATCCAACCGTGTGCACCAAGGCTGAAATTATTGCCATTTAAAGGAACGTGGGAAGTCCTCTGGTGCAGTGCGTGAAACTGGGGCTCCAAACCTTGGTAAAAGAGGGCAGGGGTTGGGGGTCTACGAGGCTCACTGGCTGAGCGGGCTCTGCCCAGATCTCAGGTGAGAGGTCATATAAGTCTCCAAAAAAACCAGTGCCACACTGCCAGCACTCTACATAACTGACAATGCCACTCACTCTCATCAGGGATCACTTTACTTTTCTCTGGAGGGTGGAGGTGCTACCACAGAACTGTCAGTCAGTGCTAAGTCACATCTCAGACTCTTTAACATTCAAATGTTTTCTTCCCCTGATCTAAACCCAGATCGCCAGGGCAATCAACTTGCCCCTAAGACACTCCCCAGAAATGTGATATTTCTCACCAAACTCAACCACGTGGACCTGGTCTAAAATGGGGGAAAGGGGGGACCTTCCAGACCAGAGGTTGCAAACTCAAATGCCTTACAGGGGCCAAAAATGGGTGAAGCAGGCCTGGTTGGGATCGACTGAGACAAAATGGTGCAGCATGTGCACCCTGTCCACAAAAACTGCTGCTCTCAGCTCCAAATGATGGTTCTAAAAAGAAAGTGGGACCAATGCTCAGCAAACTTGAAGCTGCAAAGTCAGATACTTCGTGAAATCTCCCAGTTCTAAAATGTTGGCATCAAATTCAAAACATGTTTGACACCCTAAGGGCTAAACAAAACTACAGATGATTTGGCATCTGGAGAGCAAATCTGCAACCAGAGACGGCCGAGTCACCACTAGGTTGGGCATCCCTGGCTAGGGTCAAGGATCTCAAACCCGATGCAAAGACCCAGGTAACCAGTCACTTGGAGTCCTTCCTGTATCTAGCCAGAAGAAAGGGCAATTTAAATCAGGATCTGAGAAGCACCCCAACTGGAACCACTTCTTTCAGAGAGGCAGGAGGCCCAGGGGACAACCACAGTCGCCTTCCTAGGGGATACACCATCTGCAGAGGCAGGGGCCACCTGTAGAGACCTCTATGAGGCAGGGGAAGTGGAAGGACACATGAACAGGAATTGGGGGGGGAGGGTATCTCAAGAAGAAGTGGCCAGGCAGGATAGGTTCAAGAGAACCTATTTTGACTCTTCTGGTGCCGGTTAGGGAGAAAGGATGGATGTACTTCCTTGGCCAGCTGAGCCTCCCAGCTCCACTGGTCCTTCCTGGATGGAGCATCTCTGCCCCATGTACACACACGACTTTTAAAGACCTTTCTGTGGTGAACTCCTAATTTGGGAGGTCACTCTGACAAATGTAATTCCTTCACTCTCTGCCTATCTCAGTCACTTCCAGAAAGTCTTTTTCACCTTCTCCTCCGGCAAACAGCATCCTTAGAACCCCACAGCCTACCTTGGCACTGGAATCCTTGCTTCCCGAAGCCCCTGCAAAAGCAGAAGGAGACATGTCAGGCAGCCCGAGGGGCCCAGCCACCAGTTAGTTCCCCCCAGAATCACCCCACTTCCCCCTGCTCCCCTAGCCCAGGTGCAACCTCCCAGCCACAGGCGGGTGCCCAAGAGTCTTCCGCCTCTGGGGGGGAGGGGGTAGGTGGGAGCTCAGCGGTAACCTCCACCTCCCCTCAAAAGGCAGAAGAGAGGAGGCTGCGACCACCAGGTGGCGGGGTGGGGGGAGCGTTTCCGTCTTGGTGGGAGGTGGCGGACAGGCGGGAGTTCTGCCCACAGAGATGCCCGAGTGCCCTCGGGGAAAGAGAAAAAGACGCATTGAGTGGGAGGATGGGAGAGCCCCCGCGGCGATGGCATTCCCTGGGGGACTGGAAAGGAGAAAGGACTCCCCATGCCTAGAGGGACCGGGGAGCGGAGAGTCTCCGCAGTGATGTGAAGGGGGGAAACTGAAGAGTGGAAAGGGGAACCCAGGCCCTTAGGGAGAAGCAAGAGATAACACGGGGCGCTGCCCCCGGAGACACTGAGGAGGAGGAAAGAATGCCCCATGCCCGCAGGGAGACAGAGAAAGGACACCCAGGGCGCTGCCCCCAGAAAGGAGGGAAGGGGTGAGGGTGCCTCGAGCCCGGAAGGAGACAGAGAGATAGGGAACCCCGCACGAGAGGGCACTCGAGGCGCTGCCCTCCCGCGGAGGGACAGCGGAGCCCTGAGCCCTGTGGAGAAGCGACCCCTTCTCCCCTTCCGAAGCGGAGCGCGACCCCTAGGCGCTCCGAGGCAGCTGGGAGGAAGAGAGGGCACGAGGCACCGCGCGATCGGCTGTCTGGGACCCCGGGGAGCGGGAAGCCGCAGGACTGCCCACGGGGGAGTCCGGGACAGAAGGGTCCGGAGCGGGAGCCCGGGATCTGGGGCCGCGGCGGGGCTTAACCTCCCTCGGAGGCGCGGGGGGCGCGGAGGACGCGAAGAGGGGGTCCCCGCGCGCGGCGCTACCCTCGGAGCCCCGGGAAGGTGCCCTGAGCCGGCGCGTTCTCACCAGATGAAGTCGGTGCAGTGGCTGCAGAAGGTGGGCTGCTTGAAGAAGCGGGCTGTGAATTTGTGGTTCTTCACCTCGTGCACGTTCTTCTGCCGGAGGGCGCCTTTGCGGGCGAAGCGCACCGTGCTCTCCTCGCCCTCGCTCGGCGGCGGCCCCGCAGCCGGGTCAGCCATCTTGCGCGCGGGTAGCGGGAGCCCGAGAGGTGCCGGCCAGGGGCCGCGGTAGCGCGGGCTGCGGGCCCGGGAGGCGCGGGAGAAGGCGGCCGCTCTGCCGCCCGGGGCCGCGGACGCTTCCCCTGCGCCGGCTCTGGCGGCCGCGGCGCGCGGAGCTGGGGCTGTCACTCGCCCAGCTGCAGCCACTCGACCAGCTGCGCTTGGCACCGCTGGCCCCAGCTGCGGGGGAGGGAGGCGGAGCCGCGGGCAGACCCCGCCTCCCTCATTTGCATCGCCCCCAGGCTCCGCCCAGAGCCGCCAGCTGCTTTACATACTGGCACCCCGAGGCTGCCGGCCTCCCAGAGAAGCGTTCTCAGCCGCAGCGCTGCGACGCGGGGACCGCAGCCAGGGACCGCCAGACCTGAGCCTCGCCCGCTACCTCGTCCTCGGCCTGGGTTGCATGAAGGCGATGAGCACCTTCGGTGCGCCCCGGGGGAAACGAGAACGGGGGCTGAGGCCTGCGGGGGCAGAGGGTGGAAAGGGTGGGTGCGACGGTTTCCACCCAGGCCTCCGCAGAGACTGGTGCCCATCCACCCCGTATCCGTGCCATTTGTCATTCTGCACGCGTCTCCTGGAGGGATGGGCTACCGCTGTCACTCATTCGGAAAGGCCTGTGGCTCCACACACTTACACACACATACGCACACACTACTGCAGAGGGAGGGGAGGGGCAATCCTTACTTTATACACACACATTTAACTCCACCACAAAGACGATTCTTGGCTTTGCTTGCCTGACCATTTAGAAGAAAACTCCCTACCTTCTGTCCATCCCCTCCACAAAGAGACTCAGTTTCCTCAGCTGTGATATGGGGTCATTAAAGGGCGTGGGGAGAAATTTAAGAGGCCAGTATTTCCTCAACTTTCATTCATTCTTGACCCATCTTCACAAATGCTGGTAATATTTGTGCACCATCTAGAAAAAAATCTCTATCTAGTTTCCGAGTTCAAATAGCAAGATGTATCCTTACTGTGAAAATCTCTCCAGATGCTGCCACTTGCCCAAAACACGAGCATCTGAGGCCTTCTTTTGTTTGTTAAGGGAGATTTACAAATTTTAGAGAGATGTTAAAGACATTAACATCCAACTGGGACTCTCTCCTGGATGGAATCTGAAGGATGGAAAGGTAACCAAAAGAGTAATAATTGTCTACGTAAACAATGCTGTGTGAGTTAGTGTCCCGTCCACACACTGCATCTAAACGTCCCCCCACCATGCCCCACACTCTGGGAACACATTGCTGCATTAGACTATGAACTCCTGCACTAGACCTAGGCTCTGAGAGCAGGCTCTGCTCGCCATTGTGTCACCTTGCGCCTAGCTCTGTACCTGACACCTTCTCAGAGCTCAATAAATATTGGTTGAATAAGTGAGTAATTGTGTGAACAAGTGAATGAATGAAAACTTAAAGGACGTTACCCCCTACCCCCAACCCGTGTCCAGTAGGTGTTCAATAATAATAAACATCAGGTGCTAGGTGGGTGTCACAGGTACTTGCAGTGTCTTATTTAGACCTCCCAACAACCTGTGTAGGTCTAGTAACTTTCATGATGGATAAAGACAAGGAAGCTCAGAGTGTTTAAGATAGACCCCCGAAGTCACATTGTTGTTGAGTGGTGGTTAAACCTGCCTAAGTACAAAGCATACTGGTGACAAAAGGGTGAAGGAAGACAGGATGGAATTGAACCAGCTACACTGAACTTCTGCCTAATGAAGCTCAGGTCCTACTAGGATGATTTTACCTGGAAGCTGCTGAGTCTAAGTCGTTATTAAGTGGCATGTGGAGAGCAATGGCTGTCATAATAGAATGTCCTTTTCCTACGTAGTAACTCAAAGGAAACAAGGAAAAAATAGCATTCACTTTTAAGGTTGACTTGTTTGGGAAACTGGACGTGCCTGTCTATTATTAGTCCTTTAAGAGGCCCCATCATCTCCCAGGGAAGCTTGTGAAAACATCCCAGGAGACATTGCTGCTGAAGTAGATTTTCTTTGAACTGATGAGCTGGAAGCTTGAAGCCCACATCCTGCCTTTTGAACCAAGAGCTCTGGATGACTTTAGTCTGTAACAACAAACAGTACCTCATGGGGCCTGGGCCTAAAGATGCAAGGGCTGGTAGATCCTGAAGAACCACTCAATTCCTGGAGGGGCTGCACCATCTGAATATGAGGAACACAGTTCCCATTGGACCCAGATTCTATAGGGCAGGGGTCTCAAACTTGTGGCCCTTGGACACATTCTTTTAGCCAGCCCAGTGAACATTTATTTTTTGGTTCACCTTGGTAGAATTTCACCTAAATATCCAGATTCTGACTTCTCTAGGAAAAAAAAGTTATGCTTACATGGAGCCTGCATTCCTCTACTTCCTCATTCATTTGTTTACTCATTCAGGATTGAATTTCTTGAGCACCTGTTACGTGCTCCACACACTGTTAAATAAAACAGACAAAAGTCCCTGCCTTCATAGAACTAATGGGGAAGATGGACACTAACCTAATAAACTAACAAATCTATACTAGGTGGCATGGAGATTCATGCTGTAAGGAAACACAAAGCATAGTAAAGGAATGAAGAGTGACAGCCACCAGGGAAATCCTTTATGAAAAGCAAAGACCTGAATGAAGTGAGAGGATGAGCCATTGGGCTATCAGGGTAGAGAGAGTTCCAGAAAGAGAAAGGAGCAAATGCAGAGGACCTGGAGAAGTAGTGTGCTTAGCGTGTTGCAGAAGCAGCAAGGAGGTCTCTGTGGTTGGAGTGGAGGGAACAGGTACAAGACAAGGTCCATAAAAGAGCAGGGCCTTGTAGATGTGATAAGGAGTTTGGACTTCACTCCAGAGAATGGGAAGCCACCAGAGGATTAAGAGCAGAGAAGTGGCCTGATATAATTTGTGGTTGGTTTTTTTTTTAAGATTACCCTGGATACTATGCATAAAATAGACTGAAGATAGAAAGAGTAGAAGCAGAGAGAGCATTTGAGGTCATTTGAATAGAGGAGACAAGAGATGATGACAATGGCATGGTGCCCCTTGGAGAGAAAGGGCAGTGGTTCTCTGTACAATGGGCATGGGCCCTCTAGGTCATTAGAGCCCTCACATGGTCCACTCTGCTTATAAAAGAATGAATGCTGGCCACTTGAAAGATTTCAGAGGCAATGAGAAGGCAGGTTGCTCTGGCTGGGAATGGAGTCCAAGGGCTCTTAAGCTTAGGCTTCAAACTTGCTGTATACATTAGTTTCCTGTGGCTGCCATAACAAATTATTGGAAAACTAGACGGCTAAAATAACAGAAATTTATTCTCTCACAATGCCAAAGGTCAGAAGGCTGAAATGAAGATGTCTGCAGACCCTACTCCCTCTGGAGGCTTTAGAGAAGAATCCTTCCTTAACTCTTCCAAGTTCTGGCATCTGTCAGCTTTCCTTGGTTTCCTTGGTTTGTGGCCACATCACTCCCATCTCTGCCTTCCTCTTCACATCAACTTCTCTCTGTGTGTGAGTCTTCTCCTTTTCTGTCTAATCTCCCCAGTGTATCTCTTACAAGGATACTGGTCATCGGATTTAGGGCATGCCCAGATAATCTGTAATAATGTCTTCATCTCAAGATCATTAACTTAATTACATTTGCAAAGACCTTTTTACCACAGGAGTTAAGACATGGACATGTCTTTTGGAGGGGCTACGATTCAATCCACTATAGTGCATAACCTTGGGCAAGTCACTTCTTCCCTCTGGGTCTCACTTTCCTCCATTGTAAAATAGGGGCAGAGATGTAGTTTGCCTTCCAACTCTTTCATTATAAGGCAACCTTCTCACCAATACAGTAGTCACTAGCCACGTGTGGCCACTGAGCATTTGGAATGTAGCTAGTCTCAACTAAGATGTGACTGTAAGTGTAAAATATATCCCAAAACATCAAGTACTTAGTGTGAACAGAATGTAAAATATCTCATAAATAATTTTTATCTTCAGTGCATGTTAAAAATATATTTTGGATATATTGGGCTAACTAAAATTTCTCTCTAAAATTAATTTTACCTGCTTCTTCTTACTTTTTTAATGTGGCTACTAAAAAACATAAAATTACATGTATGACTTACATTATATTTCTTTGGACAGCTCTATTCTAAAGAGTAGATTTAAAAATAAATTAAAAGTTGTAAGTAGATAATATAAATAAAAATTCATCTCTATTCTATGTAGAATCAGTAGTGGTACCTTGACTAGAGGCTGAAGAATCTGCTTTCAAGATGCTCACTCACATGGCTGATAAGTTGATGCTGTTAGTTGAGAGCTCACCCAGGGCTTTGAGCCAGGGACCTTGGTTCCTCTTTAGGTGAGCCTCTCCACTGGCACCTTGAGCTTCCTCAGAACATGGTGGTTGAATTCCAAGAGTGAGTGTCCCAAGAGATAGAAAGTGGAAGATGATAGTTCCTTAAAGCCTGATCTGAAAACTGACGCAGTGTCATTTCTGATATATGCTATTCGTCAAATAGCCACAGAGCCTATATTCAAGGGGAGACTCCATGCCTCAACGAAAAGACTGACAAAGAAATTGGGGGTCTCCTAGGAAGAGCTCAGTAAATAGGAGGAAGAGCTCAGTAAATATTTATTGCATTAATAAAATTATTCAAATTAATGAAATGTAACAATTCCCATCTGACATACAAGGAAACAGAAATTTGAAAAAATTAAGTCACAGTCATTCTAGGACTGCTACTATTAATAATTAAAAGCTAACATTAAGAAACAAGAAACTGTGGCCCAATCAAAAGAAAAAAATGAACCAACAGAAACAGTCCCAGTGAAAGACAACACAGAGAACCTACTAGACAAACACTTTAAAACAACCATTTTAACATAATCAAAGAACTAAAGGAAGACATAAAGTCAAGAAAATGGTGGATGAACAAAATGTAAATATCAAGAAAGAGAGAGAAAACCTCAAAAGAAACCAGAAAGAGATTCTAGAGCTGAAAAGTATAGAAACTGAAATGAAAAATTCACTAGAGGGACTCAAAGGCAGATTTGAGTAGACAGACAAAAGAACCAGTGAACTTGAAGATAGGACTATTGAAACTATTGGAGAACATTTCTCCAAAGAAGCCATACAGATGGCTAAAAAGCACATGAAGAAATGCTCAACATCATTAATTATTAGAGAAATGCAGATC